CAGTTTATCAGTGTGTACACTATTCTGGAAAGTCTACTACAGGATTAAATAGTACCATTCATTCTACTGTACTAAGTACTAAGTACTAAGTACTTAAAAAAAAATCACAGTAATTAACTGTTAGAAAAATACAGCAATAATACTGTAAAGATACAGTAAATTACTGGCGACTACAGCTGCCAGTACTTTACTGTAAACTACACATTCTACAGCAGAGTACTGTAATAAATTTTATGGTAATTAACTGTTAAAAAATACAGTAAGGATACTGTAAAAATACTGTAATTTTACAGGGATTTTTTTTTACAGTGCAGTAGCTTGTGGCTCCTCCTTTTGCAGCCATTACTTCAACCAAACGTCTTCTGTAACCATGAACCAGTGTCTCACATCTGCTTTTGGGGACCTTTGCCCACTACTCCTTGCAGAACTCAGCCAGTTGAGAGAGGTTGGAGGGACATCTGGCATGTACTGCCCGCTTCAGATCTTGCCACAACAGGGATAGTATAGCTTATACGGGGTAGAAGGTGTTACTGAAAAGGTTTGGGAAATTCTAGAATAGTGGGACCCATTTATACAGGAACAATATAGCAATAGGCTGAATTGGACACAGGACAAACATACTTGTTTGTTGCGATGGAGAGATTTCAGTGCGATGGAGTGCAGGCAGCAGCAGGAGAGAAGCCTCACACAACATCTGGGATTCTTCTGCTCACGACAGAGTGTCTATTATAGTAGTCTGCAATGTTATCAGTTAATCTTTTAGTTATCTTTGTATTACATATATCTGTTTTTGTATTGGGCTTGTAGTAGATTTTGTAGTCCTGCTATATATGCAATATATCCAGGGGAGGCCATTGTATGGCGATCCTCCCCTCCCTTTCCTGCTGTACCCCCTGTGCTGCTGTTGGTTGATTCTCAGTGTTCGTAGTTTGTGAGCCATGCCAGCCCTGGACCCCGAAGGGGGGCCACGCCATTTGGCGGGTTGGTAGTGGAATTTCCCTGAAGGTCAGGGCTTCTGCCCTCCTTCCTAGGCTGGATGGACAGGATTGTGTGTGGGACTCTTCGGAGTCCCAAAGGGGGGAAATATATGGAATATTATTTAGCATTTCATAACGCATAGAGAATGTAATCATTAGGGCTCTTTTAAAAAGCTGATGTACACTGCGTAGAAACTGACTTTGTAACCTTCAGAGAATGCAGACCAATTACTGCTGTGCACATTGTGATAAAAAACAAGTATAAATGAGCACCTTGAGTTGACTTAGAAGTTTCTGTATGTTAGCCATTTCGTTAGCCTTTAGTGTATGAATATGTACTTTATTAGTGCTGCTGCTTATCACTATGTAGAAAGACAAATATCTTATTAACCCTCTAGCCAGACATTCTGCAACAAGCAGAAGCGGCCAAGGTTTGCTACTGAAGGAAGGGATTCGCCTGAGTTCACCAAAAGTTCATGGCTGGGCATTTAAAAAACTGAGTAGAGATGGTCACGTCACCCTTATGTTCAGCCGAGACACCAAACAGTAAAAGAGATGATTGACAAAACTTATCATATAGGGGTGTGGATTAAGGGAGAAAACAACAATGGTGAATGGTCGGGGGAATGATGATGCTTAAGTGACGAGGTATTGTTACACAATGAGAAAATGTATAAAAGTTGGTGTAAAACAGTAATGGACACACTTTCTGTCCGGCCTTGATTGTAACTTCACTGCTGCAATAAAGACTGAATTTGGATCTACACCAGCGGCTTCTGACTTCTGATTTGGCGAAGAAGGAAAAGCCACAACAGTATGTGTCTGAAGTGGTTTGAAGGAAGTTCTTATTTTGAAGTAAATGCAAATTAACTTTTAGTGGTACTCTTTGGGGTACAATCTCATGTCTAACATGTTTGATGAATGCTGTTTATAATGTTATTTACCTGTAATTAATCCTGTTAGTTTAGTTTAGTTAGTGCATCATTTCAGCGCGTCTTCCCGCCGGTGTCGCGCGGGCATCCGACATTTCCTGAGCTATTTCACACACTTGAATTCCTGCTTAGTTAGGGAACGCTGTGCTGTTTTATATGTTATGTATCGTACAGAATAATAGAGCGCAGGCTAAAGTGCAGTTCGGTCCCCAGCGAGTCTCTCAGCGCGGCGTCTCACAGACTCAGACGGCTACATGAGTATATTGGGAAGAAAATGTGTGTATTGGAGCGAGTTCTGTGTTAGTGAGTGTGTGAGGTGTGACAGTGATAATGATGAAGATGCTGGGCTTCGTGATGGGATTAATTGCTCTTCCTCTTGCCTACAGACTCCTGCCAGCTGACGCTGGACCCCAACACAGCATACAGAGTCCTCTCTCTGTCAGGGGGGAACAGGAAGATGACATGGGGGGCAAAGCAGCCATATCCTGATCATCCAGAGAGATTTGATGGCTGCAGCCAAGTTCTGTGCAGAGAGAGTCTGACTGGTCGCTGTTACTGGGAGGCTGAGTGGAGTGGAGATGGAGCCCGGATAGGAGTGACTTATAAAGGAATCAGGAGGAAAGGAGACAGTGCTGACTGTCAGCTTGGATATAATGACAAGTCATGGATGCTGTCCTGCTCTCCTGACAGTTACTCTGTCTGTCACAATGATAAAGAGACTGTCATACCCATAAAGCCCTCAGACTCCCGCAGAGTAGGAGTGTATCTGGACTGGGCGGCTGGTACTCTGTCCTTCTACAGAGTCTCCTCTAATGGACTGACCCTCCTGTACAGCTTCACCTCCTCATTCACTGAAACTCTCTGTCCAGGGTTTTATGTTTATTATAACTCCCCTGTGTCCCTGTGCATGCTGGGATAGCTCACTGTGTGCTGGAGGAATCATTTTTACATTATCAGAGTGTTGCATGTCGCTGCTTCTCCATGGAAAAAAGGTAAAATATCTGCTTTTTAACCAGTATAACCCTTTTTACTCTGTCTGAAGTGAAATAAATTAATGTTTGTTCAGCTTGCCAAACCCAAGCAAAATGACTGTTTTTCTCTGACTTATGTTCTGTGTTGTCTGTGAATGCACCAAAACAAAATCATAGTACATGCAGTTGTACCAATAGAGTGAATTCTGATTCTGAATAAAATAAAATGTAATGAAATTTAAGCCTGATGAGTAGGGGGAGCTTTTCCCCTCTCCTCTATATGTATATTTTATATACAGTGGTACCTCAGAACTCAGACTTAATCCATTCTGAACTCCGGTCGAATCCTAAAAAGTTCGAGTTCTGATCGAATTTTGCCCATAAGAAATAATGGAAAAGCAATTAATTGGTTCCCAGCCCCCCCCAAAAAAATACACCTAAATATGTTTTTTTTAGCATTTAAACACAAAATTAACCGGATAAAAAAAGAAGAACATATACTGTACTAAACACATCTAAGCACATTTATCAAAACAGTAATTTGTAAAGTAAGAAAATAAATGTATCCAAACAATGTGTAAAGTTAAAAAAAGCAATGTGTCCTGCCCCGATCGTCCGCTCCTTCCGTGTGCCACGCCCCCTCGTTAACCCCGTGTGGAATCCCTGTGTGATCAGCTGTTTCTGGTTGTTGTCATGAGTCCTCTGTATTTACAGTAGTCCGCGTTTCAGTTAGTTTCCCCAGTATGATCATTGTTTTGACCGACTGCGTTTTGCCTGCCTTACCTACCTTACTCCGTATTCACCGATACCCTGACGTCTGCGCCTTTGTCTCCGTTCCGTCCCAGCTCGGCACAACAATGGTTTATTATTAATATTAAAATAATTAATAAGACATCTTTATTTTTAAATGTATTTTATTGTATAATAATAATTACTGTTACTGTCTATCATTGTCTAAATGTATTTTTACTGTCAATGTATTCAGCTAGTGTAAACATGCAAGATGCTATCACAGCCAATGCGAGGCTGAGACTGAAGCCACAACAATATTATTATAATTAAACATATTTAATGTTTAAAACAATGGTTTATTATTAATATTAAAATAATGAAAAAAAAATCTTTATTTTTAAATGTATTTTATTATATAATAATAATTACTGTTACTGACTATCATTGTCTAAATGTATTTTTACTGTCTAAATATATGTATTCAGTTAGTGTAAACATATCACAGCTAATGCGAGGCTGAGACTGAAGCTTGACCCATTTCCGTGCGCATACAAGTTATCTTAGGTCGAGGTTCACGGTTTGACTTCTGAGATTCAGATCAAGTTCTAGGTAATTTTTTTTTCAAACTGGTTGGTTCGACTTTTAAGAAATTCAAGTTCTAATGAGTTCGAGAACTGATCAGGTACCACTGTATTAACAGTACAAAACAGTACTTTACTTTTCTTCTGAAGATCTTCATCCATACAGACGTTCTTCTGTTCAACTAGTTCTGGTTGTATATTGCCGCTACTTTTGCGTACAAAAAAGCACTACAAAACCACAGTTCTACTTTCTGTACTCATAATGAAATGTAAGAGATTAAGCTAAAATTAAGACGTATGAGGGAATATAAAGGCTTTACAGATTTAACTAAATAGAGATGTGTATTGTGAACATGTATAATCAATTTTGTAATATGTCGACATCAAGAAATACATAAGGGGAAGTTGCTTCTTGGTGATTTGGTGACAAGATAAGGCTCCTTCTTGATGAATCATGATCTCTCTTTTCAGTCATATCTGCTATGAACAGATAGGAAGTTAAAGGTCACCTGAAGGACACAGATGAAGTAACACAAGTGATAAATAAACATTAAACATTACTGTTAAAACCATGGTATCACCAAAATCCATTTTCCCCTCTTAAAACAGCTATTATTTTTATACAGAAACTGAATACAGGAAGGATTTTATTGAAATATTTTTGTTTCTTTCAAATCTAAAACTGGCAGTGTCATGAAGTCAATCTCAGCATCAACTTCAGAGACAAATTGCTTTACACTTACTGTTTCATCAGTGTGATCATGAGTGCATGACACCTAGAGAACAGTGCAGGTCTAGTTAACTCACCTATTTGTGTTGGATCACTAAAGAGCTGTAGGTCACTTCATCTCCAGAGTCATTAAGCTGCCGTTTTTTTGACTGTAATGAGCAGAAAAGAAGGACGCTGCTGTGATACATAATTTCCCCAAATACTGTAAATCATATGAAGGACAAATGAAATTGTACTTACAGTCTTTGATGGATGATTTGCCTTGATTACAGCAGTGCTGTATGTAACTTCATTATCATGGTGTGTATCCATCTTAGCAAAAATATACAGTCACAGTTCAGAAAACAATACTGTTACAGCCATTGTCATTGAGAGCCTTCTTCAGTAATGCTAATGAGTAACACTGAACACCAAGCAAAAAGATGCTGAGTATAATATCAGATCAGAAGGGATGGCAGTAAAAATAAAAATTAAACTATTTTGAAAAAAGTTATGAAAGATAACTATTGTAAATAAAATGGAATTACTTTTTTTGTAATTCATTGTAATTATGTTATTGCAATATATTGTAATAAAAATGGATTTTCTGACATCCATGTATCACAGTGAGATGTTAACTTACTCTGTTGCTTTTTCTTGTTCTTCTCTCTGTAATAAAGTTAATAGAATCATTCTACACAAATTCACACCAACTTCTGTGTCTATTGTGGCTGATATTTCTGGTGGCTAATGGCCTGGATTAATACATAATGTGGATCTGCATCATCTGTATCTGATTAAATAGAAAAAGTAATGCCCAAGATATGGCTCATGTAAAATCAATGAATAGACTTTTTCTTGGTTAGAGAAAATTTCATCACTGTAGCCTAAAAAACATAATCATATGTTGAAGAATTGATTCCCATTCCTGACTGTTGTGCTAATGTGTGTGTGGAGTTTGCATGGCTTATTGCTCCAGGCTTTCAATGACACTGTACTGGGTAAGAAGTATAGAATATGGATGGAAATACTTACTCCGCATTTGCCACAGCTTCCAGGTTCCCATCACAACAAGCAGAAGAACCAGTAGAAATCCACAAGATGGTAGGAGTATTTTCAGCAGAAACACACTGTACAAAAGGTCAGTGGTGGGTTATTCACTTCACAGGCTAACGGGGTCTTCTATCAATATGTCAATATTTGGAGAACATTTAAAATGAAATGTCTTTAAAGTTACTGTTATTTATTTGGAGTTGCCCTGGGTGAGAGGTGTTGGGTTGGTGTGAGTCAGCTCATAGCCCCCCAGTTTGGTGCCATTACATTGGAGTTTATCCCAGTGTTCAAGAGGGTCACCTCCCTTCAACTCTGCGTCAGGGGACAGGCTCTGACTGTGGTCTGTGCCTATGCTTTGCACAATAGTTCAGAATGTCCGACCATCTTGGAGACTTTGGATGGGGAGCTGGAAGGCGCCCCCTCTGGGGACTCTATTGTTTGACTGGGGGACTTTAACACTGACATAGGTAATGACAGTGAAAGCTGGAAGGGTGTAACTCAGAGGAACAGCCTGCCTGATGTTCATCACAACGGTGCTTTGTTATTGCAGCTTTGTGCCACAATTTATCCATAACAAATACCGTGTTTCACCTTAAGGGTGTTTATAAATGCAGCTGATACAATAATAGTCTAGACAGCAGATTGATGATCAATTTTGGAATCGTATCATCAGATCTGCGGCTGTATGTGTTTGACACTTGGCAGAAGAGAAGAGCTAAGCTGTCAACTGATCACCATCTGGTGATGAGTTGGATCAGATGGTGAGCGAAAACACCAGACAGACCTGGTTGACCCAAATGCATAGTGAGGGTGTGCTGGGAGTCTCTGGCAGCAGCCCCAGTACGGGAGATTTTCAAGCTTCACCACCGGAATAACTTCACTTGTGTTCTGAGCGATGCAGGAGATATCGAGTCCATGTAAACCATGTTCTGTTCCTCCACTGTTGAGGTGGTTGTGCAGAGCTGTGGCCATAAGGCTGAATGTCATTGTGGCAACTGCTGAACCTGGTGGTGGACACCAGCAGTAAAGGGAGGCATCAGCAACTGACAGTCTAAGTGGGGTGCAGCATTGGCAGTTATGGAAGCAAAAATTTGAGTCTGGGAGGAGTTCGGTGAGGCCATGGAAAATGATTTTTGTTTGGCCTCGAAGTGACTCTGGCAAAGTGTAAGGTGATGTAGAAGGGGGATGCAGGGCTTTGACGATGCTGATTACAGCAGGGAGAGAGTTCTGTTGACCTCAACTGGGGAAAGAGTCATGTGATGGAAGGAATGTTTTGAGGACCTAATGAATCCCATGACATGCCTTCCTTGGAAGAAGTAAAGTTGGAGGACTCAGAGGAGGACTCACCCATCACTAGGCCTGAGGTCACTGAGGTAGTCAAAAAAGTCTTCAGTAGCAAGGCTCTGCAGTGAGTGAAATTTGCCCTGAGTTCCTGAAGGCTCTGGATGTTTTTGCACTGTCTTGACTGACATGTCTTTTCAACATTGTGTGGAGGTTGGGAACAGTGCCTCTGGATTGGCCGACTGGGGTGCTGGTCCCAATCTTTAAGAAGGGGGACTGAGCTGTATGTTCCAATTTCTACACTCCTCAGTCTCCCTGGGAAGGATTATGCTTGGGTACTAGAAGGAAATATTCAACCATTGGTTGAACCTCAGATCCAGGAGGAACAATGCATCTTTCTAGGTCAAGGGTCTCAAACTCCAATCCTGGGAGGCCGGAGCACTACACAGTTTTTGGTTCACCCTCATTTAACACACCTGATTCAACTCCTTGTGCTAATTACCATACAGCTCTTGAGCTGAATCATTTGTGGTGGAAAGGGGAAAGAACTAAGCTACACAGGGCTCCGGCCCCCCAGGACTGGAGTTTGAGATGCCTGTTCTAGGTGAAATCAAGGGGTGGAGGATGTCGAATTCTGTGACCCCAGGATTTCATCTTTGTGTTTTGCAATGATAAGGTCCTCTTGGCTTCATTGAGCTGTGACCTCCAGCGTGCACTAGGGCAGTTTACAGCCAAATGTGAAGCAGCTGGGATGGGGATCAGATCATGGTTCTCATCCTGGTGGATTTCCTCCTTCCAGGTTGCGGATGAGTTACTGCCTGTGGAGGAGTTTACGGGTCAATCTGTGTTTTTACCCTCATCTATGGTCAAAAAAGCTATGACTAAAAGAATGAAATCATGAAAAGAAGTGGTAGAAATGAGATTCCTTCACAGGGTGTCTGGGCACAGCCTTAGAGACGGGGTGAGTAGCTCTGACATTCAGGAGGGGATCAAAGTAGAGCTACTGTTCCTCCATATCAAAAGGAACCAGCTGAGGTGGGTCAGGCATCCAGCTAGGATGCCCAGATGCCTTCCTGGGGAGGTGTCCAACTGTGAGGACTCCCTAGGGCAGACCCAGGACACGCTGGAGAGATTACATCTCTCAGCTGGCTTGTAAGTGGCTTGGTATCACTGGAGAAGCTGGAGGAGGTGGCTGGGGAGAGTGTGATCCAGGTATCTCTGCTTAGACTGCGGCTACCGTTACCCAGACCCGGATAAGCAGAGCAAGATGCATGGATGGATCATTGGATGGATGGATGGATAACTTTATATGGGCATAGTCTTGTTACTTGGATTACATTATTTATTTCATACATACTTCCTTAAATATTGGCACAAGATTTGATTAGTTCACTAATTTGATTAAATGTTGTTTAATTATTGACATAAGATTTGATTAAGTATTTATCACTGCACCTGGTGAAACGCTGTGTATGTGTCCCATTTCTGGTTCCAGTAGACATCAAGTCAGTTGAAGATAGAACTGCTGAAGATTCTGTTGGTGATGTTGCTGGCAGGTTTGTAGTCAAGGCCATCAGAGTTGTTGGACCTCTATTAGCTGTAACACAGTTTAGTATTTCTGAGTTTATTCAATATGACATGATTACATAGTATCAGTGAAACGCCCCAGCTTTGTGCCCAATATGTGCCCTGTCTGGCAAAGGCTTCAGGCTCCCTCACAACCATGATCAGCATAAGCAGTGGGAAGATGGATGCTCAATGTGTCAGTGCCATGGAAATATAAGAACATTACCCTGCATAGATTTAATATATGAATATAATTTATGAGTATTTAATTGACAGTCAATCAGTATAACATTGTTATCATTTGTATTTGAGAGTCATACTTTTTTCAGTGTTTAGCTTACTCTGTGTTTGATGAGAAACATTAATATGAACAGGGAAGTTTAAGTCTCCCACACCGCACCAGTACCAGTCTGTGTCCTCCTTCTCCAGTCTGGTCAGTGTCACTGTCATGATTCTTTCCACATTATTGACATGCAGTTTAGTTCTGTCTTTGTCTAAGGTTCTGCTCCATGTTTGTAAACAGGACTTCTCCATGTTTCTCCTGCACCATGTCTTCTTGGTGTACTTGTCTTTGTCACTGTAGAGACACTGGACAGTGACAGTACCGCCCTCCTCACCATTCACCACGATGTCCCTCACTGACAGGTCTGGAGGACCTTAACAGAGACAGAATGGATACATGTTATCTGCAGTGGTTAGAGTGTGTCTGTATATCTTTGTTTGTATCTCCATGTGGATTTATGAATAGTTTTGGTAATTCAAGACTGTTTAACATGGAATTATTTATCTTGGGGTCGATTCTCCCATGCACTTAAGTCAAAAAAGTGCAAAGCTTTATTTTTTTTACTTAAGCGTATTCTCCCATTGACTTAAGTGCACTTAGGTGATTTACACACTTTGGGCGGATAAACACAAAAATATGGGCATATTGCATGTAAATGACTCTTACGTGCATTCTGCCACTGACTTAAGTACACTTAAGTGCATTTTTCACTATGTGCTCTGGAGGGCTGTATTAGAGGTATTAGAGTGGATTTTCACTCTTGTCCTGTCTCACCCCCACAAGAAAATTTCCATCTCACCAAATCTCGGGGGAGGGCAGGGAGATTTTAAGATTGCAACCCTACCTAATCAGCTAGGCTATGGATTTCCACTAAGTTACAATAAGACCACACACACAACTCCAACCATGCAGCAACACTCCCTGCAGCTGAATCCACACTCGCCATGCACGTACTCTAACCCGACACACCAGCAGTCTTCTGTTGCTGTACAACTCCAACCCAACAAGCAAGCACATATTGCTGTTGCTATGCAACTTTTCACTTTGAACAGATGTGAATAAGTCATAAAATTATATGAGACATATATTCCACGAAGAATACATCTTAATCTATGATGTATTATTCCAAACCGATTTCAAACTTAAATCCCACCCCTCTGCCCCATTAAGCATAGATTTATGCTTCTTGCCCTGCCACGCCTTCTCTTTCAGGTTAAGTTCGGTGGGCATGTCCGCGCTGAGGAGGGGAGAATACACTTAACTCGAAAGTGCGTAACTTTTTAGGTGATTTTTTGACTTAAGTGCTTCATTGCAGAATCAACCCCCTTATGCCTATTCCATATTTAAAACAATTTAAATGTCATATTAAGCACATATTACCTTTGATAACTGTTATGTTATTTGAATCGCCAACTGCTCTGATTTCCCCAACAGCTTGTACAGCACACCAGTATCTGCCAGAATCATGTCTCTGCAGGCTGCTCATGGTCACTGTGAAGACACCCTGATCAGGGTAATCAGTGACTGACATACGGTCTCTTTGAGAAAAACAAGATGCCATTGATTCCCTGCACCATAGTTTCTGATGATCAGCATACTTGTTATCATAGGAACATGGAATGGTCACATTCTCCTCTTCCTGAAATGTTATGTTTATACGTCTCTTCTCACCATTTTTGCCTGCAAAAACAAAAGAGAAATGATTACATATTTTTTAAAAGAGAAAAGATTAACAGGAAGGTCTCCTGCACCTATTATGAGCCTCTGACAATGTGTGGTTTTCACACTCTATGCATGTACTGAAAAAAAACTTTCCGTTGCCTTATGTTGGACATGCATATATAAATAGTTATAACCCCTTGAATTATACTGAATTAAACAGGAAACCTTTGTAATTTGTCACAGTTTTCTTGAGATCCTTTGTCCAGTGAAAGAGAAGGAGCTGATATGAAAATCCAAATTTAACCAAAGACTCGGCTGCATACTGCCTTCATTCAAGAGAGTTTGTTTTAATAATTCAACATCTATCTGTTAGTTCATTACTATTAATGTTAGATTTATTAGAAAACACAATTTTATACTAAATATAAATACAATTTAGATTAAGTTTACCACAAGCAATATATCAAGAGAATATTAAGCATACATAAACATATATATATATATAATTCATTTGACAGTAATGCTGTACTGTTTTTTTTTATATATTAATTTTATTAAAATTTACCCATTTAAATGTAACAATAAATTTAGGAGGCCCAACTGGTTTGAACCTAGTATATGTGGTTTAAATCTAGTATATGTGGTTTAGCACCAGTAGAAGAATTTTTCCATTGCTGCATCCTATGTATTACTAAAGACATAAATGAAACAAATGACTGCATGACACTAAAACAAAGAGAAATGGATTGCTGCCCTGGGTCAGAAAAATACTACCAATCCTTATAAAGATGCAGGCGCTCAGCAGGTTGAGGCTTTGAGTATCATCTGAAAAACACAAAAGAAGTGGAGCCGCTCCTGCTGTAAGCTGTAGCACCAGCCGAAAGGGCTACTTGGTTGTAGCTCTAGTGGAAAAGTGTCGGCAGGTAGCAAGTGTTAAAAAACAAAGGCTTTTTAAACCTACAGCAGGAGGATCTCAGCTTCTTGTTCGTTTTCGAAATGCTTATATAAATCGTGTGTGTTTGTGTGTGTGTGTGTGTATATATAGCTCTGGGAAAATTAAGAGACCTCAGCAATTTTTTGTTTTACTAATTTATGGGTGTGAATCTGTGAATAACGTATTTTTCATTGTTTCTCATTAATGAAGGGCTTCTTCCTTTCTTTATGGGACTACAGTCCTGCTTCTAGGAGCCTGATATGAACTGTCCTAGCAGTGCACTTCACACCTGCACTTAATGTTTTCCATTCCTTTTGAAGGTCACTTGATGTCATCCTCTGATTCATGAGAAACTGTCAGATAATTTCCTGCCATCTCTGCCATCAGAAAGTCGCTCCACCCTGTACCTGGCTGGTTTCTGCTCATTTCCAGTGTCTTCACCTTATTCTTGTTCTACTGTCTTAGAAATTTGGAATCTGGAAGTAACCAGCTGCTCAGTGTAGCCTTCAGCTAGCAGAGCCAGGGTTGAACCAGGATTTAAAAATGCAGATTTGTTTAAAAATACACAGTGGTCTCTTAATTTTATCCACAGCATATATATATATATATATATATATATATATATATATATATATATATATATATACATACATGCATACATACATACTTATTTATTTATTTGTTTTTTATTGTTTTTCTAAAGGCAGTAGAGTCCTGCTTTTTTGTGATATTTAGGCTTCAGTTACTTATACATTTAAATCCCATCATATAGACATATTTCAAGCACTGAAATTCAACTGATTTGGATGAGAATGGAAATACTATTGAAAAGATTTAAACAGTTATTTTAAAAAGCCACTATGATATTTATGGAAATTATAACTGGAAAATTATAAAAATGCAAAAATTAAAGTCGTACAAATTACAATGTATATTTTTGCATGTATTCCATTGCACTATATAGATTTACTCTCTGCTGCAAAATACTAACTATGCAAATATGAATTGATGCCTGCATTAAAACCTTTCTTAATGAAAATAATGGAAATCATAAAATTATCCACTTGACTCTGTAGCAGTTGTGCAGTAGATAGCATAGATAGCAATTGGAAACAACAAGATAAATCATTAAAATTTATTTTATTTAAACATTTTAGCAGTTGTTGGATTTGTCTGTATTACGTATTATTGATACTGAAAGATAACAGTTATTCTGGTATCAAGGCAGAATACTTATAGTGACTGAATCTTACCTGATAAAACAGCAATGACAGAAATGAAGAAGAATCCTAGAATCATCTTTGCACCAAACACTGTTTCTTATCTTAAACAGGTCATAGCTTGTGACCTGATAGCTCAATAGCATGTGCTTTCTGGAGAATAACTCTGACTTCCTGTTGCACGACCACATCTCCCACATACCCTACATACTCATACAGACAGTTTCTACTATCTAAAGAATGACAGTGGATGTTGTTATACATTAATTTCAAATTATGAATCCCTGAGAGTGATTATCTTCATAAATGCAAAAATTTTTAGGTAAGATATTGTAAAACTTTGACATATATGCTCTGCTTTTTCTCTGTACTTCTGTTCTCTGTTTCTCACAAGATTAGTAAAAAATCTAACTTTTGAAACAAAAACCTACCACATGTCTGT